GCTGTGCTCGGACACTTGGTATACAGTCTAATACCTAATGCAGAAGTTCAATGCACACCATTCCATTGCAATACGCCAATACAATCATGATCATGCAACAAATTCAAAGAAACATGAGTGAATGAGGTCGATCTGTTTCCCAAATAGGAAATGTAATTGGAAAAAGTGTCTCAGGGGTGCCTCGTGCCTGTTGCCCTCTCTTTGTATGCACCTTGCATGTAATCCCTCTTGTCCTAGACTCCCTTAGTATACTGTTTCACTGGAAGTTCTACAGTTTCGAGTCCTTCATCAAGTACTCTGTAGTACTCTGTAGATCTAAGTATATAGAAAGACCTCCATTCCAGTTCCTATCTAGTATTCCTATCCTATCATCACTTTCTTTAAATCCTTTTGAGATCTCTCTCACAGCCCTTTCTTTTACAACTGTTTCATAGTTCTTTTAGAACTTGTCTGAACTTGAAATCAATAATAGATCAAACACATTCTTTGTGACCGAAAATAAACCTGACGTTGCACGGGAGATCATTCGCTTGACCGTTTGCGGCCCCAATTTTCTTTTTATCGCCGCATTTCCCCTCCAACTTCTCCCTACAACACTCGCTCCAAAACATCCATATCACCAACTTGCTGTCGCATCCCCCGGAAAAGGTGCAAATCGAAGCGCATTTCAACGAAAAGATCATCCATTCATTTTTGCATCCCCAACTCCCTCGTCGCGCATCATAACCGCCTCCGGCGCAATCGCAGTCTACCCACAAATCGCGCGACCGCGCAACAACTTGACGTTGACTCTCTCTCTTTGATACTATCCATCTTCAAACCAACTTCAAACTACCCAAATTGCGCATTAAATATATATCTACAATCATGCTACTCCCATCCGCCCTCCCATGCGATGTGCGCCGGTCGTCTCGCTTCACCCCCAGTCGCCTATTCTCAACACCTGCCCCATCCGACATAGGATTTGCATCGGGCAACGGTCTTCTCGGCACATGCCGCGCACTACAGTCTCTACTCAACAGATCGCCCACTCCTTCATCGCGATCAGTGAAATCCCAACGCCTCCAGAGCCCCCTCCCCCTCAACACACCCCGTCGCTCGCCGCGATCGCACAAGGCCGCACGACCCGTCTCTCCTAGACAAACACCACCACCTAGAACCGCCGCTCTAACACCACCTCCTCCTCCATCTGCGCCCGCCCGCGGCGCAAACAAGCGCCGCCGCGATATTCTCGATGACGATGACAGCGATGCGGAGTTGAGTTGCCAGCGCAACCGCTTCGCGACTCCCAAACGCTGCCGTCACGTTCCCTACAATATGCCTCTCGGCCTTTCCTCAACAGATTTTTACTCCCTACATTCTCCTCCTGTCACCCAATCCCCTCCCTCTCCTCCTCGTCGCCAGATGGACTATGGCATCTCAGCTGGCGCACACATCGATCCAGACGCGCCTCTACCCTCCATCGAGGTGACAGAGTGTGTCCCTTCGGCTCCACAAGAATGGACCCCTGAAGAAGACCAACAACTTATCGAGCTGGTTCTCGAGAAATTCCGCATCCCCCAACAAGAATGGGACGATTGTGCGCGCCAAATGGGTCGCAGCCACGTCGGGCCCAGGTGGCAGTTCCTCGTTGGTGAGGGTCGTGTCGGCCTGCGCCCGCGTCGGCGTTGAACATTGCTTATTGCAATTATTACCCTTTTTTTTATTAATGTATTATATGATCTCTGTACCAATCCTGTGACTGACCCTATTCCCATTGGCCTGACTCGGCCTTGATTTCTTTGCCAAAACACCCCTGTATTATCATATCTTCTTGTATTTGTGAGACTTGTTCATTTTATTTTCGGTTTGTCTATTGACTAGCACAAATTGCTTGTTTCGTTTGTCCGGTGTTGGGAATTCAGTTCTACTCGGACTAATGTGGATATGCTTTATTCTGCTTATTTTCCTGCTCATATAGGTAGTATCATTTCTGTGTGACTTAATCTTCCACGTCTTCTTTGGTTTGCGCCTATGGAAATTGTATTACTATCTACTACTACCAACTTGACATATATATTTTTATTATCTATTACTCTTAACAGCTATAAGATAGTAATTTAAAGGTTTTGACTTTTGCAAAATGCATGCTAGTGTTGCAATCATCCAGGGTATATATACATAGAGCAGAGTGAAAGCATGCTAACTTATAACGTCACACCTATGCCATAATACTAAATCTCCCTGAGGTTCAGCCTCAAACTCATGTGCAAACACATGTACGTATATTCAAGGTACGGGAAATGGAAGAATTGGATATTTGTGAAAAATCCAGTATGTATATGGCTCCATCCAACGCCAGACACCAGTTGTGCTGCGCAAAGTAAAAATAACAAGATGAAATGGGACTCAAGTCCATTGATATCAACACTGCTCGTTGCAATTCTCTTCCACAGGAGCCAAAATCACCTCGAAGTCGAGAATGATCAGAACCTAAACGAAGAAATTGAGTCAGCGACAAAAATAATAACCAGCGGAAAGATAAAACACATACCGAATCTCATAGCTCCCTGCGCGAGTCATATAGCGCACCCACTTGACAGAGCTATAGTTACCCTTCTCAAAGACCTTAAGATAGCGCACCAGCAAACCCGAAGAGGTAAACATAAGCAAACTAAACGAAAGACTCAACGGTGGGCGACTCCAAGCCTTTTGATGTGTCATAGAAGTAAGAGTTGCCTCAGCATTAAGCACATACTCCGACTGCCCAGAGAAGCGCGCAATCTTCCAGACAATATTGTTCTGCTCGGGCTCATACTTGGCGCGGCCCTGGCTCGTGCGCTCCGTAGTCTTGGCAGTATTAAGTGGCGTGGGGATACGAATAACAACATTCGTAGCGAAGAGCTTGGAGCTGTAATTCGCCTTGATAGCGACACTGTATTCGACCTTTGTGGTACCGATCTCGCGCACAATTGGATGCACCTTGAAGGGCAAGTTGACGTTCTCTGTTGCGCGGTAACGCATTAGCTCGAACTCGCCGTCCGGCGGCACGAAGGAGATAATGCGATCTGCGTCGAACCGGCCCAGCTTCACGCACTGGTGGAACTGGCAGTCTTCCAGCGTGACGGAGCCTGCCGCAGCGCGCGTTGTCTTTGATGTGCCGAGTCCGTTGCCGCCGCCGGGGTTGTTCATATTGCTGGATGTCTCGCCGGTGTCTAAGAGGAGACGGTCGTTCAGGCCGAATTTGCATTCCGGGGTGCCCGTTAGGTAGGCGCGCATAACAATCTGGCCGTTGACGTCGGCACGGAGGACGGTGCCTGTTGCAGACATCAGGAGGTTAACATCCTCGATTACGTCGACAAAGGCTTCGTTTTTGCGGTATTTTATGTCAGAGCGGCGCCAAGAGAGGGCGCCTGTTGCTTGTTGGGTGATTCGGGAGGAGTCTGTTGGGGAGTTTGCGATGGCGGATTTGACGCCTTCAGTGGTGATGTACATTTTGAGGGTATCTGGATCGGTGTTCTGGGGGTATCCGAAGTCAAGGATTTCTGTACCATCAATTGTTAGGGTCTGCTTCTAGATAATTGGGCCTTTCCCACATCTTACCATCGAGCAGTTCGTAAATCAGGACGAAATTGTTCTTCACGGCCTCCTCATCGAACTTCCCGAAATAGCTCTTTCCCAGCATGATCAGCCGGTAGAGGAACTCGAAAACAAGCGCGGCATTGGCATTGCTCTTGGTCACAGCTACCAAATAGATGTTCTCGTGCTTGACATGGCTAAAAGTCGTCGAGCCCAAGGTCAGGATCGGCGAGCGCACTTGGGGATTGGAGATGACTTGAATGCGGAAGATGTCGGCTAGACGCGGACGACAATCGCTGCGGAAGGCGCGAAAAATGAGGTTTTCGCCCTTCTGATTGAATATGAGGATCCCCGAGAGCATATTGTTGTGATGAGTCGAGTGGCTCCTGGGGGGATGGAGTTGGAGAGCTGCGGAAACAGGGGTGTGGGGTGGATCGACACCGCCTGAGGTATAAAAGGAGAGGTTCTTGAACTACTTGAACCCCTCAACCGCAATGAATGAACCATCTGAGGATTGTATTGCATGCGGTTGGGCATTCGATAAGCAACACAGGTACCATTATTATAGCCACCTTAGCCTTTTCTATGGTGCATCTGATCGGGGCGTTTGCTCCATCGGTTCTGATGTGATTTTGAAAGATCGCCCAGACGAGGGTCCAAAAGCAGAAGGTGAAGTCAAAACAACAAATTACCTGGCAACCTATACCCACATCCCTGTTTCAAAGGCTCTGCGTGACTAGGTTGATTGTGATGGGCGACACTTTGTTATGTTATGAACGAACGCATATATGGCCAAACACTCGAGGAGGCGTGGCCTTCGTTGTCAGAGCCCCAGAAAATGACTATCACGGATCAAGCCGTTGAAGTGCGTAAACAGCTTTGATCCCTCATATCAACCTCTATCAAATATGTCGATCATGGCCTATACTAGTTCTTGGGATACCCTCAGTCTTAACCTTCACAAGTGTTAGAGAATTTGAAGAAGCGCCTACCAAAATATGAGCTCTATATCTAGGTTGTTATACTCCTATTAAACATCAACATGGAGTGAGCATTGAAGCGGATAGAGAGCAAATCCGCAATGTAATTACTTTTCAGTATGCTATCAAGTCTAAAGGTGAGAATGTGGTATGACAGCCAGATATGGACAAAGAGGCACGGTCAAGATGACAATAAAGAAATCAGGGTAAAGTAGCCCATAGGGGAATCAACAAGGATATGTAGACGAAGCCGACAGAAGAGATATAAAAGAAAGGTATCAGATCCCCAAAAAAATTAAAAGAAACCCTCTGACTAAAAAGACGAAGGTATATGAGAAAAGATCAGTGTCGAAAAAAGTGCCGCGGGATGGATATCATGCAGAGCTCCCAGTCAGGGAACAAATCACAAAGATGTACAATCAGAAAGCAAAAGAAAAACGGCGCCAGCCCGACAAACCCCCATCAAGATCCAGCCTCAATGCCAGTACTTGGCCTGGTATTAGGAGCCGAAGGTGCCTCGCTAGGTACAATGCCGACCTTAGGATCAGGAATCTGGATATCAAGCGACATATACGCCGTCCGCCTCAAGCCCCAGATATGAACACCATCCTTGGCTCCGACCTCACGGTTCCAAGTCTCCAACCAAGCCTCGACTTGGTGCAACTGACTTTTCGCTGCGGGGGCATTGAGGTCATCCCAAACCCAGCCAGTCAATAAGCCCACCGCACCATCGAACCAATTCCGAAAACTGAACGGATCAAACGCCTTGATGATACCATCATTGACAGTAGAAATAACCTTGCGAAACTCCTGCTCTGACAACAATGGATCTAGAATCTCAGGATAAAGATTCGAAAACGTCGGTGCCAAATCACCCTTAATCATCCAATCGCGTCGGATACGAATCACACGCGTTGTCATATACTCTCGTGATCCGATAGGTACATGGGGATTAAGATGCGGGAAACAGGGGTGAGCCGGGCCCCAAGCGAGTTCCTCCGCGATATCAGCGGGCGGGAAACCGGTATTGGATGGGACGGAAGCGATCTGGGACTGGGAGCGGAGGGAAGTTTGTGACTGTGTGTAGCGAACACGGTCGTTCTGTCGAGTCCCGTTCTGCGTGAGGTGGACAGCTTCGGGAGGGCGCAGGTTCTCAGTTTCCCGGGCTGCGCTGCCCGCGAATGCCATTTCTGTTTGTGAGAAGTCTTCGCTGCGGCGGTGTCGTGGGGGCAGGGCAATGCTAGTTCGGCCACTTTCTGTTTCCCCCTGGCTGCGCTCGACGAGTAAGCTGCTCGGGGACGGGGTTAGGCGGCTGCGGCGTCGCTCTGGGACGCTGAGGAGGGGGCGGGCGTCGCGTGAGTGGCCAAAATCGAGTGGGAGACTGTCGTCGGATTGGTGGGGGTGGACTGTTATTGGGGTTATTCGTGGTACGTAGTTGACTGGGTTTGCGAGTCGGACTGCTGGCGGGCGGAGGAGCGACGGCGGGCCTGAGATCGGGACGCACTGTCGCCGCTGGGCGCGAACGAATGACGGAGTTGACTCCACGGGTGCGCGATTGGCTATAGGCCGTAGTAATTGTTGGCCGCGTGAATAACAGTATGCTTCTTCCTCCCTCGATAGAGGTCTGGGGTCTTTTGAGGACGCCGTTTTGAGGGGAGAAAGGAGAGGGGGAGAATTGGAGCGGAGATGGAGCCAAGGGAAATTTGCCCTATGTGGAGGACATGCAACAAATGAATGTGAGGAATAAGATTAGAGAAGATTTAAGGAAAAAGAAAAGATAAATTTGCCGGAGCTGAAATTTGAGACGAAATCCTTTATAAATCCTTAGTATAGAAGAAGCTTGCTTGGCGTATATAATCTGGACTTTGGCTAAATACCAGGAATAGGAAATTGGACATCAAAAGGTTCCTATATCTTATATCAATGTTACAGAGACTCGAAAGGGATATCCAATAATATAACAATATATATGCGAGTCGTTTGTCCCGGTTTCACTGTGATTAATCAACCGTCCCTTGTTTCATCCGGACTTTATTGGGCATAGCATGCACAATCTAGCAAACGCTAAAAGATGTACTACTGCACTATCAATGACGAAATGCATTTCATTTCAGTCCAAGTCTCGGCAGTCCTCTCGGCAAGGCCGTATTACATGCTGCATAAGCTTGTCTAGGCACGAATTGGGAATATACATTATCAGACAGGGATTATAACGACATTGACGCAGTAAATACTTCATCAAATCATGGGGAAAGAAATATCCGCCATGGCGCGTAATACCAAGACCTATTTATAAAAAAAAAACACACACACAAATAGAAGGGTATCGAATAAAATGAAGGAATCACGACTCTGCGCATTACAGCTTTCGATTCGCTGAAGCCTGCATACGCCGCATTGCCTGACGATGTAGATCCGCCATGTTGCCACGCTGCATGCCATCTGCAATGGCATCGCCCAGCTGAGTAGATGAGGCGTCGCGCATCTGCTGCACAGAGTTCCATGTATTGCGCTGCTGATCGGGAGGGCTGGCCGGGCTAAGAGGCCGGGACTGGTGAGCCAAAGGATCTCGCTTTTGGGTGAGATCCTCGCGGACCGATTGTCGCCACGCTGCCATTCTTGAGGCAGGCCGATTTAGCTCGCCAGCGGGAACTGGTGAGGGATGCACGGGGGATGTGGCAGCCTCGAGACTGTCAAAGCTTCCAGATGGGGACTGTCTTGACTGGCGCTGTAGTAAGAGGCGTCGCTTAGAAAGAGGCATGTCGTCCTCGTTTGGCTGGGCTTGTTCATGCTCTATCTTCCTTTCTTGGGGGATGGAGAGCGGTGGTGAAATTGGGGAAACGAGGGGCGGTGTTTCAGGTAGGGACTGGCGAGATTGATTGCGTGCGGCCCAGGGATCAAAGCGGGTGGATGTTGAGGACATACGATTTCGGACCATGTCCTCGCGAACTGCGAGGAGGGGAGGTGGCCCGTTCCAGCGTGGCGATGGCTCTGATTCTTTGGGCTCGTTTGTAGTGACCATCAACAGAGGAGTCGATACGTTGCGCATTGACGTCAATCCTGTTATCTGAGTTGGAAGCGGGCTAGAAGCTGACCGTAGCACGTTGGCTGAAGCTGTCGAGTCATTGCGGGTTAAATTTGGCTTCGCCGTGGTGAGACCTTGCGCGCCGGTCTGTGTCTTGGACTGAGGGACCTCCGGTGAGGGCACCGATGAGATGTAGGCAGATTGTTGATGGTCCACATCATCAAATTCAGGCCTGTTCACGATTGGTGGTGGTTGTGCAGTAAGAGGCGTCTGGAGAAGACTGGCTACATCAACAAATGCTGCAGTCTCGTGAACTTCCTCTGTGTATTCTGCCTCAGGCTCAGGTTCGAACTCAATTGGCTCGATCTCAGGTGTGTCAGCATATGCGAGATGCTTAGCCCATTCGTTCGTGCGATATGAATGGATTACTCGTGATGTTTGCTCGGGGATGAATTTGACGGTTGATGCATCTAGTTTCTTGAGCACTTTGATCTTCGGCTCAACCTTAGGCTTGGGCAAAGACGCAACCTTCGGCTCAGGAATGAACTCGGCTTTGATGGCTTGAACAATAGGAGGCCGATCTTCATTGGTCTCCTTCGCCTTATCCTCTTCTTTATCCATTAGAGGCGATGGCTCCAATGTAGCTTTAGGTTTGACTTTCTCGGCCTTCCTTGAAGCATCTGGAGTGTCTACCGGAACACCCGTTGCAGGGGTTTTTGGTGATCGGGGCTTCTCCGACACTTCGGAAGTTGCAGGTTTCTCCAAAGGGCTGTTGGCAACAACTGTGCTCTCGATAGGAGACACCTTCTGAGCCGTCTGGCTGACAGTGGTTTCTTCAGTGATCACTTTCTCGACGTCCTTTTGGGCTATGACTATATTGACACGGGGTTCAGCGTCCTGAGCAGCTGGTGAACCGACATTTGGCTTGATCCCCAGATCTTCCGAGTCTTTCTTTTGAGCTGACTCGGCGGTGCTAATCTCTTGCTGCGTTTTCTCAACACGATCGTGAGCATCCGCTTCTGAGATAACACTCGGACAGCCAACGCTCATCTCATGAATATCATCCATAACTCCCTGTACAGAAGAATTGGCATCATCGTGATCCACTACATTCTCCTGTGACTGCAAAGCATTAATCACACCATTGTTGTTCCGCCAGGAGGGCCGGCTCAATATTTCTTGATCAGACAACCGTCTCGAGCGTGGCGTGCCAACCTCCGAGCCGATGTCAGCACCGTTCTCAGAAGCGTCGTCATTACCCTCACCAAGGACATGAGTAACAACAGGTGTAGTAGGCCTCGGCATCTTTTCTTCCGACTGGCCTTCCTTCTCAGCAGCCTCTTCTTGATCACCATCCGGTGACTGACTCTTTTGAGATGAATTCTCCTCCGGCACAGCCCCAAGTTCGCGAGTATTGTTTTCACCCTGATGGATCTTCTCATCAGATGCACTACCGGAAGCATCCGGACTCGACATTTCCTTGAGCTCGATCTCACCCTCCTTGCCGTTGTCGGAGGGCTCGAACTCATCTCCATCTGAGCCCCGTCGCGAGTCACCAACAGCAGTTTCAGAAACCGAGACGGATTTTGCATCCGTCGGCTTTCCATTTCCATAAATGAGTTCCCATTCAGCGCGCTCTTGGATGTTCTTTTCCTCGAGGCGACGACCTGCTTCGGCATCTTCTTCTTCGACCTTTCGGGTGTGTGCCCGGCGGGAATCCTCTTCCTTGGCCCTGCGCTCCTTGATGAGATTCCAAAGTTTGACCTGGGAGATTACTCCTAGAATAAAGATAATGATAGTCGCGGCGAGTTCGACACGAATACCACGTGTCACGGGATAGGTGTCCGTTTTGAGAGGGAAGACGTTTTGGTTCAATCCTAGGTCCATCAGCAACTAGGAACAGTTTGAAAACAAGAGGTTAAACTCACCCCATATATATAACCAGAATTCTTTCAGTCCAGCTCTACTGTAGCAATCGATTCCAATGACCAAGGCAGTTGCGCCAGCGAAAGACGTGCATCCGATCAGTCCGTATGGCCTTGTGTAGTGGCTGAATGATAGGGAGTAGAATCCCACGGTAAATGCAATGATCATGCCGGCCTTGGGGCCACCTTCAGTAAGAAGGCCGCCAGATTTCAAGGCAAGGAACCACATGCTCAGGCAGAAGCCACCTAGAAGACAGCCCAGTCCCTCGCAAATTTCTCTGAAGACAAGCGATAGACCACCGAATACAGCGCCGGTGAAGAAGACGGCGACGAGATAGCCGCCCTGCACAGCGTTGCTGACTGGTGGGCTCATCACATAGATGATGAGGACCTGTATAGAGTTTTCTTAGTTTGGTCCCTTACTATTTTCCAAGTATATAACTTACGGTAACTCCTAATGCACTAAGGAATCCGGTAGAGAGGAAGATTTGGACCCTTTTTTTTGTTAGCAAATGTTATTCTCATCAAAGAATCGAAACTTGAATACCATTGTTTGCGAACACCAATGAAAGTCAGCACAGCCCCGAGAGCTATTAGTATAAATCCACCAACACCCCATGCCGGCGTGATTTTCGGTTTGATTGGGAGACCACCAGAGTAGGTTGGCCTAGTGGAGTCTGCCGCTTCCTGCTGAGAAGATGCAGTTGTTCCATCGAGCGATGGCACAGTCGATGTAGCGGAAGCAGCAGAAGTAGTCGTCGTAGCATGCGTTTTAGCATGCATTGTAGCAACGGTCGAGCTAGCAGTGCCTGTCGTCGTAGCTTCGGCTGTTGATACATCGGTTACTGTTTTTGATATATCTGCTTGGGTTGCTTGCGGATCCTTGTTGGCAACATTCTCTGCCGGTGTAGGATCCGTTTCCTTTTCTTGTCTGGCCTCAAGGACATCGCGTCGTCCTCGGACCGAAGCCGGCGCTGCCAATGTTCCTGCTAGTAAAAACAGGGACAGTATTAAGGTGAGCAGCAAAGGCCAGCGCATCTTGACTGATTTCTAAAGCGAAATGCAATCCTCCGTAGAGAAACGTCCTTGGGTATTGGAAGACCAGCACACCATACACATGTCCCGCGAAATCTATATTGATTTCGGGGGGAGATAAACGAATATTAATAATTAACAATAATAAAAAGAAATTATTTGACTTGGCGTGAGGGACACATTATAAGGTAGGGGAAAAAATACAGCAAACGGAGACTACAGCTCTAGGCCTCCCTACATATAAACGAAACGAGATAGGTGGGAAAAGGACTCATTTCACATGAATTTGAGTTTTATTAGTACAGTAAACAGAACAGGGAAACCAGCAGGAAAGCAGGAACGAATATAAGAGGACAATAATATTCACTACGCGATTGTACCTGAGCTATCTACTTCATGTCCACCGATGGAGGAAATTGCCGATCTAGTAATTGATCAACTCGGACTAGTATCACTTGCATGGACCAAAGAGAGAGAGATAAGATGTTCGTGTCTCCATATTGTGGCTTTTGATGGTCTTTTTACTTCGGCGAATATTGCCATTCAACCATGAAACGTGTTTTTGCAGGGACTAATGTTTTCTTTTTCTTGTTCTTTAAGCTGTTGGACAACGGACTGCATATCCGAGAGTGAGGTGTCACATCATCCTTTTTAAGGAATGATTCCCCGTCGTTTATACTATGTATTCAAGTCCACAGTTCACGGTGAACGAGAAAAAAAAAAAACCTCAGTAGCCCTAAGTTGTAGAGACAACTCTTCCCCGGGTGGCGCCGCGCCAAGGCCCTCACGGCCGATCTATCGATTCTGCAAATTCCACCAATTTGATCAACTTGACAATTTGATTAATTTGACTTTGGCCTTTGACCTGACCAATCTCAGTGGTCAGCCAATCTCACCATTGTTCTGCATATATACCTGCAGGTCCAGGCCATGTCAGCCATTGTTGACGCCTCGCAAACGCCCCTACAGCGACGTGGTTGGGCCGCTAATTGAATTGTATGTACCTACGTAAGGAGCGCATCTGAGACAACAGCTATCTTAATCTATCTTCGGTCTCATTCAATCAATCAGCAGTATTGCAACATTTCCGTCGGGATCTCCCCTGGCCGATCTGCCTATCGGCTGCCATTTCCAGTTTGGTGTGCCTTATACAATTGTACAGTCTTCGGAGAGTCGGGTGTGATGGATTGTGACGTGATTAGGCTCTGACGAGTTTTTGGTTTTTTTTTTTCAAAAAAAAAAAAAATACACACGCTGCTGTGTTCCTGTTGACATTGACGTTGGGGTATGAAGGATTTCGAAATAATTGAGTTGGTCTCGTTTGATTTATATTTCTTTGCTTTTTACTCTGGAGTTCTTTGCTTTTTGGTACCTTGCTTTTGTTTTTTACTCGGGACTTGATACGTTGGATTTATAATTCTGTAGCTCATAGTTAGTTGTCTGCACCCGTAGAGAGAATGCTGCACAACGGGGATTCCGGGGTAGAGCTATAGCTCGATAGTATGAGATTATGAGCTTTACCGAAATAGCTAGTTACGGAATACTCCGTACGGAGAACACAATTTCATTTCCAAGGAGATCTCAATTGCAGCTAGGATCCCTGCTTCAACCCAATACTAAATAAATAAATAATAAATAATAACCAAAGTGTCCTATGCCAACATATCATATCCGAAAGCGGTAGATCACGTGTCGTGATCGACACTTATCAATAATCGTGCCAAAACAAATCCCAATTAACCCATCCTTGCGATAATCCATAATTCACACATTCTTTCTCCAACCATGTCCGCCTTCTTCTCGTCTTTGCGCCCAGCCATGCGCATGGCCGGTGCCCCCCAAACCGCTCGCGCTTTCAGCTCCTCACCCGCTCATTCCATCGCCCGTTTGACTCTCACCGGCCGCCTCGGTGGAGAGCCCGAGCTGCAAGCCACCTCCTCTGGCCAGGAGATCGTCAAATACAACATTGCCACCTCCCACGGCAGCCGCGACAACCGCCAGACCAGTTGGTGGCGCATCACAAACTTCGTCCCCGAGGGCCCCCAGCGCGATTTCGTCCTTGGCTTGCAGAAGGGGTAAGTGGCTCTGCCTACTCTTGATACTTTGTTGGATTGTGCGGAATACACCATCGCATGCTTGGATTGCGTATTGTCTGTTGGGTGTGCTGTTGTTCTGTTGCTATATCGTGCCGTTTGGATCCGACAGGCGCGTGCGGTCTATGCGGAGCGAGAGCGAGGGCTTGCACTCGTGCTTGAACGCTGCCTTGGAATCGTGCAGGCCTGCTTGGACATACGGCACACGGATGTGGCGGTGGATCGACGCGACTTCGCATGAGATATCATTCCTCCATGTTATGTTTCTTGGTTGGACAAAAAGTTGGGGGATGGGATTGCCCTACTCAATTGCCCTAAACGATTGTCTTCTATCCACTTGGGCCAATCTAGCAACTTCAGTTTTAACTTTAGCTTGATGCAGATGAGCTAACATTTCGCCTGCAGAACCCTCCTGTACGTTGAAGGCGATGCCAAGATGGCCACTTGGGAAGATGCCGAGGGTCAGACTCGGTCCGCTCTGAACATCGTGCAGCGTATGTGATCCCGTGTTCCTTGGTTTCCTCCCACTCTCGGGGAACAAGAAAAAAAAAAGCAAAATCCAATCTAACGCTCTTCTAGGCACCATGGAGGTCCTTAAGCGGCCCGAGAACAACGGCCACGGTGAGGACTCTCAGTAAATGGCTTAATCTGGGCTCTGTATCAATCTGAATTTGTTGCTGGTTGCATTTTGGGCTTAGTGGGGTTGACTGAATACTCCTTTGCGGTGTCGTTATATTGTACGATTATACCCTGAATACACTTCGTTTTGTAGTGGATTGAGTCGATCTTGGTAGCGTATGTTGTAGTATATATTTAGCCATATCAAGACTCTTTTGGTTTCAAGACGTTAGCTTTTCCAGATTCAAGCTATGACTTATTGTTTCATTTTGGACAGGCGAAAAGTTTCAGGGTTTACTCCAGGCTCCGGGATACCAACCCACCGACTAGTAAGTACTACAGCTTCGGCAACTCCTACATCCCTATATATCAAAACTAGAGGACAAGATTATTCTCTTGGCTATCTACAAAAACAAGTTAGAATATACCAATCAGTAGTGGCGTGATTTATGTTTCTTGTGGGGTTAATCGCGATATATATAAATCCATTCACAACTAGTCCTACGCATATACCAGCCATCACTGAATCCTACGCAGGATCATATTCAAACAATTTCATTTTTTTGCATGAGAGCCACCGGACTCCGCAAATTATGTGTTATGATAGTAGTATTACTCTGATGTACAGCAAATCCCATCACCCTAGACCAACGCAAAGTCAATATTAGAAACCCATATTAGTCACTGCAATCCCAGGTACAACCTTGGAATTCCGAAGAAAGAGAAACTCCACTAGACATGAACCCTAACCTCACTCTGCTGGCTTATAACCTGCCGCACATGAATTAAATCCCTATTAAGCTCCGGTGAAGTAGGCCCACTAGACAAGTCCCGACTATCACGACGACTAGCCCACGCATTCGTGGATACAGTCAGCGAGGGGATAGGTAGGTCAGTCAACAGAGTCCCATCAATATCCTCCCGAGCCCGACGTCTGTTAAAGAGCGACCAGGGCAAGCTACTCCAGTGAGACTTCTTAATCAATCTGGGGTCACTATTGCGAGACAAGCGCGAAGAAACACGCAAGGTGCCCTTTTCAAGATCATTGTATGTGCCATGTGTCGAGATAAAAGTAGCAACGCATTCCTTCTGGCGGGAGAATAGTGATTTAGCACGGGAGCCGATACTGCCAACAAGGGTGGTTGCCGTTGAGGCGTGTCCGGGTGGTGGTGTGCTGTGTGTATTTGTTGGAGGCTCCATGCTCGGGAAACATGAGCTCAGACCGAGGTACCAGAAGGCTGTGCGGTACATGCGTGTTGCGTCCCGGCCGAAGCCAAAGAAGATAAAGATCATGAAGCCTGATGCGACGGGGGTCCAGCGGTCGAAGAAGACGGTGCCGTCGATGGGATTTTTGGAGATGATGTTCCATGTGCTGTTGTGGATTGCGCTCCAGGAGTAGGTGTGCCAGGGGAGGGAGAGTACTATGTCGGCGTAGACGACGTAGCCTTGTAATGGGAGGATGCAGACGAGCATTGATAGGGCGAGAAAGAAGAGGCGGAGGAAGCGGGATTTGCTAAGATTGCTGCTGGAAGCGCGGAGGATGTTTGCGAAGTCGCTTCGATACTTGTGTACGCGGATGAGGACTAGGCCTGTGATGTTTTGTCAATGAGGGTGTTTTGTATGAAGAAAGTTGGGGCTATATACTTACAGCAATAGTATGCAGCAATGAGGCAGATAATTGGCGGCCAGATCCATGCAAAGACGAGACTGACCCAGCTCTCGTCAAAGCTGTTCACACATCCTGAGATGGCAAACAGTAGGTATCGACTCTTCTGCCAGATAATTTGTGTGATCATTGCGATGATTGGAACAGCGACGCAGAATAGAATCTCCATGAACTGATTGCGCCAGCGTTGACCTTTGCTCGGGACTAAGGTGGCCCGATCTGTATCCAGTACAATTGCAAGACTTCGAAAGATACATGCCAGACTTCCTGGGACGCCCACATATCCAGCAGCCATAAACTTGACCTCGATATCACAGAGACCAGCTCCATCCCACCACGACTCCACGTCGTCCGTGGGCCATATGAAGGAATTGATGATGTTGAACAAGTTGAGGAGAATTGACCAGAATATCAGACTGGTAGCTGGGAAATTGCGATTCTTCCCATGCAAGATTAACGGCGGAATAGCCAGAGCAATGGAGAAGAATGATAAAATTGGCAGAACCACGGCCTGCGGACGTCTTTGGTGAATATCCATAGCGGTAGTGGATGTAAAACAGAGATTAAAAAAGTATGTCGTTAAGTTGAGCGGCCAGTTCTCCTGCAAACTGACCAAGGAAATAAAGAGATAGGATAAAAGAAAGAAGGATGGGATGAAACCATCGTTTCTCGATGAAGTATGTATATCCAGCCAGGGAGGCGATTGGGCGACGATGTCTTATTGGGCTCCGAATAACGAGAATCAGGAGGCTGATTCAATGCTCAAGACATCTTGCCTTGAGCAAAATCGTGTGCTATTCAGGAAGAATGTATGGCAAATTTTGCGGCCGGGGGTACCAGACCTTGATATGTTTGGCGACAGGCAGAGAAACATATCCATTGGATAAGCGTTTCTATTAGCCTAAATAACTTATCAATAAGATGAAAGAAGATAAAAAAAGTTGAATAAAGAAACACGAAGTGCATAAACTGGGTGTTGTGGTTGAGCGAATAGTGTGAGGCAACACCAGTCCGGATTTGGGTATCAATAGACCCCGAGGAAGCGGGAGCTTTATTCATTTTGATTCAGAGATTTTTGTCGATCTGGGAAATCAATGATTCAGTGATTTAGACAGCCTAGTCCATTATTCAGACTAGATTGATCAGATCCCAGAGGTGATGACCCCGGGGGAGAGACTTGATGCACGATGATCCCCGACGGTAAATAATGACAACATTCCAACGAAAAAAAAGAATCTCATCGCAATATTGAATATATCCCAAAAACTTGTAATTTAAGCAATGGGATGGAATCATGTTCCCACATGAGTACTATATCCCAGGCCTTTAGTCGAGCCTACGATACAAGTATGATACTTCATCACTAATCTCACTATAAATTTGCACAAGCCTCTGATAGATGCAGTTAGTCTAATGCAGATATCAAATTAAAGCATTATGCTAATACCGGAAAGTGAATAAGCATTTAATCGTAGCTGAAAAATAGAGGGTGCCATACCAGTGGATGTTCTTAACCCGAGGAGAGGGAGCACTAGTAGCTCGTCAGAAAGCGAGATTGAGAGGCGAATTACTATAATGAATGGCAAAGATGAAGAGGTCGATATATAGAAGAAGGAGAAGGAGAGGGAAATGAGAAGCAGGGGAAAGTGGAAGGAGCGTTGCCAAAGCAAGAGCCTCTTATGTTATGGACCACGCCTGCCAGTTCTGATCTGTTTATCTAATCATCCTCATTATCCATCTCTTTTCATCCAACTCGACTAGGACCATCCAGTTCATCCTCACCACTAATTCCTGGAAGGTGTTAGCCATTAAAAAAACCCCATCTCCCGCCAAAAGGGGTCCTTTGCCCTATTATGTGCGGGTTACGAACTGCCCCTACATTACCACGTGCGCGAACTGCCACTGGGATTGCGACCACACAAAATGCCGGTATTAGATTGCACTGGTAGATCAGTCAGAGTCTCAGGAAGATGTCAATCTGCTCAAAAGCTGCTAGCTGGCATTGACTCTGCGATCGCAGCGACTAAGGCATCATGCACGACAAGCCATGAGAATTCCGTACAAGCTTGGCACATGCGCCAGGAGATACACGCAACGAACACCCTAGAGCACCCAAAGGAAAAGTCATGCGATCGAAAGCTACAAGACAGCAACGGAACATGCAAACTCACTCGCTTCCACCATTGAGGATCACGCGTCACGCTACATGAGCAAGTCGCTCACCTCCAACAACTTCGAAAATGGCAACTAAACTTGCTGAGGGCCAGGACGCACAAGTATCAGCACCATCACCAAATTCTGAGCCTCGTTCGGAAATTCTTGATCTGGAGAAAGAGGAACGAGATTTAGCAGTTCTTGGTGATATTCCCACGGACATCACGACCATCACAGCTCATACTCATCGAAGCTCAGATCTGGCAGCTCGCTAGAAATGGTGTTTTGCGAACACTGCAGCAGTAATTATGTCAAATGTCACAATAAACTTGCGGATCTACAGGACGTGGCCCGCGACATCATTGCTCTCCTGTATGTTCGCGCCGACATTTCCACGCCACTTCGTATGTGGGCTGTTTGACGCGCTCCCTTTCCTCATAATCGTCCATGGCCTGGTCGCCATCAGTCATAGGTATGCGAAATGGCCTATGGATTTCAATTCAGACGGAGACATTTATCCAGATAAGGGGCTAATAGGCCACCTAGCCATTCTATGGGTATTCATTCAGCCTCCAATTCATGGCCGTGTACGCGCTTTGTTACGTCTCATACGGCTCCTCTCTCTGACCTTACATTTTTTTTCCTCGGCAGAAAGCTCCGACACAATCAGCTATCCCATTGTGGTTTTTATTTCGGCCAGATCGTTGCCCGACCAGCGAAATTGAAACCTGTCTTCTCGGACCGCACATTACAAACTGACTATGACTATGACCGGCCAAGTACGAAGTCACCCCAACCTTCCGATGCGCCACATCGCAAATTGCAATCACCTGCACTAAATACAGAATTATTGGCATTGAACCAGGGTTTCGAGACGTCAGGACCCTGCGGCAACTCTCACGAGATCACATTTGTCAGCAGAATTAACTGCGCATCCTTCTTCTGTTTTTGTACCTTGCACGAATTGAACCCATAATTGCGAATCCTTAGTCTGTCATCTACGTTCTAGATTCTTTGTTAGTAACTATAGTCGTTCTTGTTAAGGCTGTAAGGTCTCTCTCGTGATATTAGAGTTTCTAGCATGGTATAAGTAGGGCTATATTAATGCTGCCTATTCTTACTTTGCTGTCAGTTTGCTTTTACTTTCATTTAAATCCTAACATATAATTCTAGACAATGAATCTGAAATCCTGGATACTATAGCCCTGTCACACTATCCTCGGATCACTTCCCTATAGAATCACAGTGGAAGCTGCGAGTGGATCCGTCCAACAGAACTTCGAATTCCTGTCTCCTACAGCATTGAACAAAACTGCAAGTCTCTCTTCCGTACTCTGTCTACTGCGATAAGTCATTTCTTAGATTCTGGTCAGAATTCTAGCCCATCTGGTCCCCAAAAATCTCGGTAACCGGACTACGTAGCTTACAGACTTTGACAATTCATTCCTGGAGTAATAAAGGGTGGAGGGAGAGATTATAGGATCTATATATGGAGTATGTGAATCATACTCTTAGGCTTACATCCATTGTCCAATAAGATACTGTTGAGCATCCTTCCTTTTTACTCTGGTTACTAGTACACAATCCACATTTTATGTAAATAAATATTCAACATTTTTAGGGAATTATTAGATGATACTTAGTGAATACCAGATAGGCAAAGACAAATTCTCTATATATACCGACCCCGTTTTGGTAGTTAAACTGTATATAATATTAAGAATGGCTAGAAATTCCTGCGGGGGACAATTTTGTACGGGGCTGATCCGTGGTGCACCACCAAAACACCATACAAAGTGGGCTACCTTTACGATTTCCTGAGTGACTTTTTGGGGACTTGATCGTTTGAAAAGTCGCGAAGTGACAGGATGGGCCCTTCGGGTGTGAATTCGGGGGCAACATCCCTCGCTGTCCCCGGGAGGAACCACCATCTTGAGGCACCCCGGCCCCCATCATGCGGGGGTCGGGCATCGTGGTCAGAGGTGAGCACTAAAATAGAACGGGAAAGGTCTCGAGTGTTAGGCATTAGTTATATGTACTCCATATTCTAGTATATTCCATTCTATATACTCTGCATCGTCTATATACGTTGAAAACATATAGTACACAAGTTACCCGTTTAGGATCTGCGAACCGGTTTGGTCTCATTGCATCATCCAGCCTCGGCACTGTACTCCATACTCCGTACGGAGTAAGAGAGAACACATTTCTTTTCCAACCTTCACAGTCAAAATGGCTGATTCACCCACTCAGCGTTCCTTCAACACACGTCGCGTCCGTACCTTTGACGACAGTCAACGACGGAACTCGACCCTTTCAGACTCACTCTCGGAGGCCCGCAACTCAATCCGCTCCTCGACCGACGACTTGTTTCTTCCTCGTGTAGCAAAAGACCATGCCGCGCTCTCAACTGAAGAATCTAATTGGCATTCCGCGCCGCTCGGACTAGCCCTGCTACCCGCAATTGCGGGCATTTTCTTCCATGAAGGTAGCTCCTTCGTCACCGACGTCACATTACTAGTCCTGGCCGCTATATTCCTTAACTGGTCTGTCCGGTTGCCTTGGTATGTGTATCCCCCTATCTCCGCGTCTGCAATAGAGTCATCTCAATGCCCAAAACAAAAGTACCTAATACTAACTAATAACAGGGACTGGTATCGCTCGGCCCAGGCCATCCGACGAGAAGAAATTCGCCAAGAAAGTGGATTCCCAGCGCCCGGCGATCCCCCATACGATCTCGACGACCAAGAACCCCATCCCAAACAAAAAGAAACAGCAACAGCTATCTCCGAGCTCCAAATCCACGAGCTCGCAGCTCTAGCCTCTTGCTTCATATTCCCTATAATAGGCACCTGGCTCCTCCACGCCATCCGCTCAAGCCTCTCGAGGCCCTCCGAAGGCCTAGTATCAAACTACAACCTAACTATCTTCCTCCTAGCCTCCGAAGTCCGCCCAGTCGCACACCTCCTAAGACTAATCCAAAAAAGAACCCTACACCTCCAGCGCATCGTAACATCCTCAACAGAACCAGTCATAAATCCAACAACCCTCCAAGACCTAGCAAAGCGCCTCGAAGAGCTCGAAGCCCACGTCGCAGAGACAGCAACCGCCCGTCTCGCCACCCACCCAAATAAAGACCTCCATTCCCTCTCCCCAAAAGAGCAAGAACAATCCGAAATACCCGCTGCCCCATCTGTCGTCGCCAACGCAGTCTCCGAAACCCGCAAATCAATCCAGCCAGACATCGAAGCCCTCAACCGCGCTGTCCGTCGCTACGAGAAACGCTCCGCCCTCTTCACGCTACAAACCGATCAGCGCTTCGTGCGTCTCGAGACGCAAGCCGGCGACGCGCTTGCGCTGGCTGCTGCTGCGCAGCGGTCGGCGGAGTCGCGTCGTCCGAATTATGCGCTCGTGTTGCTAGACTGGGCTTGCGCGTGCATCGTTATACCTGGTCAGATTGCATTGTCTGTTGGTGGGTTGCCTGGGCGTGCAGTTGCAGGGTGTTGGGATTATGCGAGGCGCATGGTGATGGGGCGGAAGGTTAAGGTGCAGCCAAGATCGAAGTCTAAGGCTGGGTCTGGATCTGGGCCGAAAGGGAAGGCTGTGGTTGGGACTGGGGGTGAGGGGACAGGATCGTCGGGTGCGTATCGGCAGGGTGGTGGGTTGGCGTCGCAGCGGCGGTCTGAGGTTAGGAAGAGGGATGGGGTGTGAGGAGGATATGCATGATTTTTTTCTCCCTGATTTTATTATTGACTAGAGATTTTTAGTGCCATGTGAGTTACTGGTAAAAGGCATTGCGTAGTTAATGGCTGAAGGACTGGGTATATTGGCGTTTGTGTATGGGCTCGAGCACTTTCGGTGTATGATCTATCATATACTGTAGGATGAGAATGTCGATTTGGTTTGAATACGTGCTCAACCTGTATCAGCAATCTTTATAGGCCTGAAAAACGAAGATATTGCATTTGTACAGCATTATACACATGGAGACAACATGATGGGATCGAATAACTCCAAAAGTGAAGTCTGTTTGGAGTCAACCGCGAGACAAAGGGGCCAGCCCCCTAAAATCAAGACCGACCCCCAGATGGGCCTTGATCATCCACTCCAATCATCTTTAAGAACGGTTCAATGATTGATCGCCTCCGCTCTTCAGATATCCGACGCTCTTTCTCTTTGGATGGCAGTGGGGCAGAGGCAGAAATAAGTACGAGCGAAAAGATCGATGCTAGAGCAGTCTCAACCGCTTGTCGACGTGGTATCGAAGGGTTCTGACCAGCGGGTTCAGGGCTGGTACCAGTGGATGTGCTTGTGGAGCGGTTCTTACGGCGGAAACTGCCGCTGGTAACAAAGGCACTAGCGGAAGCTGGAGTAGGAGGTTGACCTTCATCCTGGTTTGCAGATTCAGCCTGCTTGTCTGCCGATTCTTTGGGGTCGCCGTGCTTTCCTTGTCTGGAATGTACTGGGACCATCGGTGTAGCGGACGATACTGGGGCCACCTCATTGGCGATGCGGGCGAGCATGAAAGTCACAAACGTGAATGATACGCTGTGTGCTGGTGAGTAGGCCAGGTGCTCAAGCACCCAGGCCTGGGTTTCATCCCAGGTTCGAGGAAGTGATTTGCTTTTCTCGCGCGCGATTATCTGCTGCTCCATGTCTTGCCATACTTTCGCGGTGACGATGCCATCTTTGAGCGCGTTGAGGAAAGTGAGAAGGGTTTCAGATAGAACCTCCAACCGGTGAAGAGAGGATAACTCGGGGGCAAATATTGAACTGAGGGACTGGTTGGTATCAAGGGCTTCACGCACGGAATTTTGCAGCGCAGCACGCTTCTCGGGGTCCTTTAGAGTCCATGTATCAGGTTGGAAGGGCCATGCTTCCCCGTAGGGATCCGTCTTCCATGGGGCTTTATGCTCCTCGGATTCACCATTTGTCATGCTCCACTCTGCGACAGCACGCTCAGTCAGGTCAGAGATCGCCTCAGTGAGTCGGAAAAGCTCGCGGGGTGCAGACAAACGGATTTCCGTGGAACCATCTGTTCTAGATGGATGAGGGGTCTTGGATTCGGCCAAACTTCGAGCACCCGCTTCTGGCATGCGAGTCAACTCGTCGACACTGCAACCGAAGCAGGTGGGTAGCCAACGGCCATGCACAGAGATAAAGTGGTCGCGGCCGCCATCGACATGAAGGACGAGGATGTCTTCTAGTTTGACCTTTCCAATATTAAGCAACCGGACGTGTTCGATGTCGCGAACATAAGCCGTGACATCGACATTTGCAACTTCCCCAGGGAGCAGTGTGTGGCTCCCGGACGAAGAAGTTATCGTTTGGCCAGCGCTGTTGGCGGTGTCTGCAGATTTGGACACGTGTAGAATAAGCCACGAAGGCGTTTGTGTGATGGTCTCGTCATCAACATTATGCCGCTCCGCAAATGAAAAAGTGGCTGCAGTACCGCTGGTGTTGGCAATAGTCAGGGACCGATGAGCTGGCACATCAAAGGCAATATCGCCGAAATCGACAGTATCAGGATCTTTATCTGAATGCTTTTGGTCACCATGTTTATCTACCACAACCGTAAGATCCGGCCGAGATTCGTTCTCGGCCTTGTCCAATTTACGGGCCACTTCTTGATGAACTTTTGCTTTGAGATCGCGATTGACCGCATCAAAACTCAAGGTGAAAATGGCACCCAGAGGCTTGTGGTCCGACGAAAGAATGCCTTGATGTGACACATAATGATCCAACCGAATTGGATCATGGGAGTCAAACGACGCAACTGTGCCTGCATCATCATCATCATGAGCCTGATCTTCATCTGATATATACCCCTCGCTGTTTACACCGTCTGCGTCAGGGTCATATTCGAACAAGACATTATCATCGGCAACAGCTTTGTCCAGCCCGCTTGCCTTCATCTCCTCGTCCCTCTTCCGGGCCTCCTCCGCTTCCTGGTCCAGCTTCTCATGTCTCAACTTGTCCAGGTGAGAGCGGAAGAGAATCCGATCACACCAGCTAGGACCCCGTTGCTTCTCGCTCGAATCAAACATGGCCACACTCCCAATGTCGTATTTATACGTCGGCAAGAATGTGATTTGGCCTTCCCGCCAACCTTTGTGGAAGGCTGCTCCTTTTCTCCGTTGAAGTCCGAGTTGATCGTGTGGGAGGAGTGAGGAAATTGTAGTTTGAAGAGACGCAGGGTCATTATGAGGATCGATCTCTTCGTCAGTGACAGGTTCGGTGACTGGCCCCATCTCCTCTTCTCCGGGGGAAGAAGACGAAGGCGACTCATCATCAGAATCGGCAGTAGAGTCCCTAGAATGGCTTGACGACTGTTTTGCCTGACGCTTTTTGTCATACTCGTTGACAGTATGCCGAGTGAGGACTTGGCGCACGTCGTCACCAGAGATATCATCAAGGCGGTAGTTGAGGTCACCAAACCAGAAAGTGAAATCTTCATCGCCAATTGCTTCGCTCGATTCACCCGATTTGTCGTCACCTTCAAACCAAACCGGATCAAATTTAGCACGTTGGACAATCTGAGAAGAGTCCCAGTTCCGTCGCTCCAAGCTGCCTTTGTCGGACCCTGCTGCGAGATGACAGTTGATAAAGACCAAACGGGTCGTTTCGCCCAGGACAAGGCGCGTTGCCACAGCACCCTTGTTTCCCATGTACCCCATCAGCCCCGTACCAACAGAGGTACTACTGATAGAGGAAATACTGTCTCCAATGGCGGGCGACGCATATATCACAAGTAACAAGCCGACCAGCTGAACTTCAGCGACTAGCTGATATCTTTCAGGTAGCGCCTTTTGAACTGCTTCCTTCCACCGCTTGGACGGTGCCAGGTCGACATATGGCCGGAGCGCTTCTGTTGGGGAAGAGATATCGACCACTTCTTGCAAACCCAAGACGTAGAGGTCTATCTCTTCGGGACTGTAGTGAAAGGTTCCTTTTTTTGTGCCGTCTGGTTGCTGCTGGTCACGCTTACTGGGCGATTGGGATTCTGGATCCCGTGCGAAGTTTGTCCCAGAGAACTTCTCGCACACCCCGACTCCATGAACAAACCACTTTCCAATGTCTTTCTCGGTGCCGGATATGCCGGCTACATTCCACGTGCCGACCTTGACTCGGATAGATCGCCGGCGCGTGTATTCGGCTTTTCTTGCTCTGACTGCACGCGAAAGTGACAAAATATCGAGTCCTGGGTTCTTAATCTCTTCCGCATATTCCGACTCGTGACCCTTTTGCTCTGACGCCGACGGCAATTGCGTTTTGGTGCTCATGGTGTATGGGTATGTGATGGAATCGGCAAATATTGAAGCTTCTTCGCCTCGCTTGGCTATGGTTTGAGGTTCACCAGGATAGTAGTATGTAGTGTGGTGTATGTATGAGAGTGTGCGCTTGCGCGGTTCTTAATTCCGGCAATGAAAAATAGGCTGTGATGGTTGTCGCAATAGAATAATGAGGCGATACTGACTACCATAGAAAGAATAGAAAGAATTGAGAGAATCAGTTGTATAATGCGACAGTGGCTCAGTCATTTCATCACAGAGGTTCATCCCACCAAGGTTTAGGAGGGTCGTATCGTCATCACGTAGAATATAAGGAGCAAGAAGTGTGCTTTGAGACAAACCTGAAACGAATCAAATATATGCCAGTATCCAAATATTCTACTTGAGGTCCAAAAGAGAAGAGGTTTGAGAGTACATAGAAAGTAGAAAGTAGGGAGAAGTCGGATACACGCGAAGGCGGAGCTGCAATGACGATATGCCCAGCTCCTTCCATCTTTCACACTTCCCAAGGGTGTTCCCGCAGAAACCATGAATTCACGCAAACCTCGGAGACAGAACAATCATAATCCTGTCAACCTCACCGATTATGAATCCGACGCCCCATACTACTCCGACATGCAGCAACAGCCTGCACCCCCGCCTCGCTCGAACGAGGAGCTCAACCTCTCCGTTATCCGCCGCCACAAGCCATCAGTAACCTCCATCCTCTCACTTGCCCCCTACGCAGTGGTCTACATCTTCAGCCCCACTACAAAACAATGGGAAAAGAACGGAGTTGAAGGAACTCTTTTTGTCTGCCAGGAAACACAGGGCGACCTAGGCGAAGAGCGCTACACTGCCTTCGTGCTAAACCGCCGCGGTTTGAACAACTTCGATCTCCCTCTCACCGATGGCGAGAATGTCGAAATTACAGAAGAATATGTCATTCTCAAAGCAGAAGAAAGTGCTAAAGGCGAAGCCGGAGAGAATGGCATCGCCGATCCCTTGCACCCGCAGAATGTGCACAACAACCAGACCAGCACGAAAAACGTGTGCATCTACGGTCTTTGGATATACTCAGAGCCGCCGCCAAACTCCACCGCAGAGAGTCGCACCATAAACGCCCAGATGATTCTCGAGTGCGCCACCCACGCCGGGGAGAGCATGAAGCTAGCTCGCGAGCACCTCGAGGCTATGCGCCAGAACAGCTTGCATGCTGCAGCAATTGCAGCTTCCACACAGGCTCCCCCGATAGAGGAAATGCAGGCCAGTGTACCTATGGGGCGTCAGATCTCACTGAAGGATCTGTTTGGTCAGCAGCGCGCCCAGGACGACGCCTGGAGTGTACGCGCACACCATCTGACACCCGAGCAGCAGCAGCAACAACAACAACACCAGCCATACCCACAGCAGGCTAACTATCAACACATGATGCCTCACCAGATGCCTTCCCCTACTCCCCCGCCCCAGCCACAATCTGATGTGCTAGGAGATCTCTTCCGGAGGGCAGGACTCGCTCAACAAAGCAATGGGCAGGGGCACTAGATGAGTGCTGAATGGCTTTTTCGGGCCCCTCGATCATTTATATATGGCGTCTAGATTTTTGTTTTATTTCCGCATATTTGAACAGCTTTGGGCTCTTTGTCATTCGGATGGGAATGGGCGTGGCGTAGCGTCTCTTGAGATACCCGTCAATGGCGAAATTCATTGTCTTTATGTAGTTTCTATCTATTCCAATGCATAGATCATAAAAGCCATAGTCGCTCCCTATGCCACAATCTGTCCAATCATCCCCGCAACTTTTCGCGCCATCACATCACTGTGTTCTACAAACTGTCAGCAAGTCTACGTATCATAGTCAAAGTCGAATAAAAATCCACTTACTCAAACAAAAGGCATGCGGCAAACCCTCTTCACAAACAATCATAGTCGGTCCAGCCTCCCCTCCCTTCCGCCCACGCACCGCAACAATTTCATCTCTCGTCTGCTCAGCTACCCAGTGATCATTACGACCAAAATAGAAAAACAGCTTCGCGATAGGCTCATGCGCCGATGCAGCGCCCCAGACATCGTCACTCCATTTGTCCGAAGTGATAGTCCGCATTTCATCGGCAGCCATATGTCTATCCACCAGGCAAAAAGAAGTAATTAGCTAAACCCAAGCCACAGCCAAAAACAATATCACACATACAAAGCTTGCCGTACCCCACGCGGGCTCTTTAAAAAAGCACACGTAGTATCCAAAGCATGAACCGGGGGATCACCCATGACGAGCCAAACCACAGATCGAAGAAGTGATGCCGGGAGCAGGAGTGTAAGTAGTCGAGCGAAGAAACTAACCACCACAGCAAGACGGGGAATGATCGAAAGTAGAGTCTACACAGTTAAACTGAAATTAGCACGAAACCAAAGCAAAGCAAAATACAGCATCTAGCAAGAGGAATATGAATATGGTATGTACCGTCAATTTCTGCCCTGAAGGCGACGCTGCGATATCCTTGACAGTTGGGAAGAGCATCGCCCCACCGACGATATCGAAGGTGCTTTCTGGGCTTGCTTCGCGGTGCCGTCTTAGGACTTCCATGGCGATATATGCGCCAACGGAGTGTCCGATCAGGATGACTTTTTGCCTAGTTCCAGCATCGGCAGTACTTTTACCTTTACCGTTGCCGTTGCTGTTAGCTTCATCTCCCATCAGGGCAGCGAGCTTTTCCTGAACAAAGCAGATCTGACCTTCCAGGTCGAGATCGATGCTATTGTTCGGTGATGGCGAGGGATGGTGTTCGTCTATTTCAAAGCCGCTGAGAGAACAGCCGTAGATTTGAAATGACGGTGAACTTGATGAATGATCCTCTTTTGGCTTGTCTAGATACTTCGAGAGTAGAGACAGGAATGGGTGGTAGTAGCCGATCAGACCGGGGTTACCGGAGATGAAGAAGATTGTCGTCTTTTGATCTGATGGAGAACCTGTGGTGGTGAGAAAGATGTTTGGGGTAATGTCGGGTGCCATTTTTTGTTTGGCTTGTATCATTGGATCTGCTATAGGGCTCATGTAGATTTCATCTAGGGTATAGATGGCTACGGGGTTGTTGGGTGGTCTGGACTTGGTTAGTGGTTGGATAGGTGGAGATAAGACAAATAAAGGGATATAATTACACGAATTTTGCCCCTTTTTTATGTATTTTTGGCGTATCCGATTACTCTGGGAGGGTTGAATAAATTGCCTGGGATTGATAGGGAGGTGAAGTCGGATTTAGCTGGTGGATCCAAGCACTTTACATCCAGGTCTACCTATACTAACCCCTCGACCACCCAAAAAATCCATGAGATGTTTATAAAGAAAGCCCGAGAAAAATAAAAATAAGGAGACACCGAGAGAGAGATCCCTGGGCTGCATGGCTATTTTAAATAGTTGGCAGGGCAGATACTGTGCAGGCCATGTCTACAGCACTACAGAGAAATTCCAACAGACAAAGAACACCATGAAGACAGCAGGATATATTGCAACGACTCCATCCGCGGATGCAGAGCTCCTCCAATGATCGGTATCTAAGTCCGACCTGGAAAATAAAAAGAATAGACACCGCAAGGCTAGATCCAATGCATTGCCCAGACGCCATGCCATGTACATCAACGTTCAACCAGAGGCTGGTTCAGGCCAGAGAAGACAACGCCTCATAAGACTAGGAGGGAAACAGGCGAGGAATACCCTTAAAAAAAGAAACAGAACAAGAAGAAAAGGCATCGCCCAAAGAACAGGAAAACGTGAAATATGGGAAATCCCGCAACCGAGTCTGGTATCTAGGTCATGGAAAAAGGAAACTTCATTCAAGAAAAACGCTTGGCTTATGAGGTATATTCATCCACCCTCGTTGTTCTGACTGTTGTCGCGATTCTCCTTCTCGTAATTTCCGGTCGTCACCTCTGTGCGGGTGGTGTCAGTTTCTGAAACGGGAGGTTTGGCCGTTGATCCAATGTTGATGGCGATTCTCTTGGGCGCGACACTGGTGACCCTATTTAAGGCCCCCGGTGAGGCATTCTTATCTGCCAGTGAGCCGACAGACAGACTCTTTTTCCGATTCATGATAAAGGCGCCAGAATTGCTGCTAGTTGAACTTCTTCGTTTGGGTCCCGGTCCCGGTCCCGGTCCTGTGGTAAGCTTGCTAAGCTCATCGTCGTCTTCTTCTTCGCGGCGACGCTTCTCTGCAAGTCGTTCTGGCGCAGGGGGGCTCTGGGTGGGTGGTGATGCAGGAACCTCAGTGGAAGTCTCCATCGGACTGGCGACTGGCTGTTGTTCCACCCCTTCGGGTTTGGTGTCCATGATGTCCTCGTCGTCGTCATCTGGGTAGTCAACTAATGGTTTGATGACCGCAGAGACGGATCCGCTTGAAGGTCCATCCGTAGTGGCCACACGGTCCTGCGTCCACTTGATCTTGTCTGGTCAGTCGTTTTTTCCAATATTCTCAATCCAAAAGGTACCTACCTCATCTTCGTCATCAGACGTGTTGAAATAATCCTCTTCCGCGGGATCCATCTCTCTTGCACCCTGCCAGCGCTGGCCATTAAGAGGAATTCTCCGTGGCGCGTTACTATCATCCTGACCAAAGAGTGCCGCGTCGGCCTCGGCTCCGTATCCCTGCATTTGGTCATATCGAAGAATCAGGTTCTGGAAGGTATCAACATAGATGATGTTCTCAAGCTTCTCGCGATACTTTTCGACCACATGAAGGATAAATGGCTTGATATTTTCCCGCTTGATAAACTCAAAAAGTTCAAGACAGGCCGAGTTGAGCAGGTTGTCGCGGGGCATTGTCTCGTAGACGATGTCGAGAATCAACTCAAAAGTGTTATTGTGTGTCATGAGAGCTTGGTAGAATGTATCTTGGAGGCTGATCAAGGTGCGGAAGAATTTGAGGGCGACTGTCTCGATATTAGCTACGTCTTTTGCATCAAAAACGCTATACACTCACTGAGTTTGAGGTGTTTCTGGGGTACCCGCAGAAGCTGTGCAACGCGAGGCGCGAGGGATTCACTCTGGATCGAGTTACGGGTGCGGAAAAGATGCTGGCGGACGAAGAAGGTGAGGATATCAACAAGATGCGAATAGAGTGTGACCTCTTGGAATGTCAAATCATTAACTAGACTCAGAGTTAGCAAAGTCTTGATCAAACACAAAAGGCCTCCCCACTTACGGGTGGTGCGGTTTGCAAGCTGTTTAAGCGGTTGGAAGAGTCGTTTTGAGGACTCATCAAAATGTTGCTGGACAAATGCATCAGAAAGAAGGTTGTTGTTGCGAACTTTGTAGTAATCGGGTCCAGCCCGACCAAGCGGGTCCTGCATAGGAATTTGAGGGTCAAGGAGAACCTTGATAGCATCAGCAAGTTGGTTTTTGACACCAAGGTCGGTCTCCACATGAAGAAGGTCAATCAAGGTGTCTGTGAGTGGTGTCTTCTTCTCATTAACAGCCTTGAGCATATAACCTCTCATCATAACTGGGTCGTGATCCAACAGAGCCACTAAGATATCAATACCAGTCGTGCGCATAGCTGGATTTAAGTGCTTGACGGCAAACGCTATCACGGCGAACAAGCCATGGCTAATAAAATTGGCGAATAATTGGGCCCGTGACGGTGCCTGCAAGTTCTTCGCGATGCCAGCACACTGGTGAAGAAACTGCACGGCGTCATCCTTGCGTCTCTGGTCCGGATTTCGAGGGTCGAAGACTTGAAATAGATCTCGCAGGAACGGCCCATTTGCTTGGATATGATTCACAATCTCCATTTGATTGAAGAATATGAGAGAATTGAGCACTGAAAATGTCGGGTCGTCCAGAATACGAGCCAACACCACATCTTTTAGATATTGCAGCCTCCATGTACTCCGAATTTTGCGGCGAATGAGCGGGTCCTTAATTGGGACGACTTCCTTGTATCGTGATTTGTCTGCAAGGTATTGTCGGTGGTTTGCCTTATGTGTGGGAAATTCAGGGTCATCTGTTTTCGTCAGTATCAATTGCATGGGGGTTTGGATTAGGGTGAGGCCAGGTAGAGCATACATTCCAGAGCTCCGACCACTCCGAGGATGACATGATCGGCGACAACTGTTTCGATGATGGTGTTGTCATTGAGCAAAATGAGAGATTTCATGATGTTGCACAAACGATGCAAGTCGATCAAGCTCTCCAAATCCTCGGCCATTGTCACTAACGGTACCAATTTGGAGATGTACTCGTCGCGAATGATGTACTTGGATAGTGCATCTCGACCTCCCTGTGTCATGCTCGCCGCTCGTACAATCTGTTCAATTTCGGGGAGGTTTCCGAGTTCGGGGGCCGGTAATACGATGGACTGGTAGCTATCGAGATCGTCGGACAAGGCGTCATCTGAGAAAACAATTAGAGCTGCAGGCTTTCAAACACGCGACAATCCTTACCAGCTGAAGTGAGACTTAAGAGATGTTGTTGAACGGCATTAACAAAGTCCCTTCGATGGGGTTAGTTCATGCGCGCAAAGATTTTTCTGTTGATTCCTCACCAAATGACCGCACAGCCTTCCGCCTCTTGGAAACTCAGCGCCATGTCCGTGCCATTCTGCTCCGTCCAAACAATCAAGGTCTCTGAATCGCGTGATACAGTTAGTAAGAGGAGATGGCAAATGGCGATGAAACGATAATGGCGGGATAGGTACCCTGTTGTTTTTGATAGCCATCGTCCTTGGTGATCCGCGTTTCGAGCAGGACGCGATTGGGCAAGTCTTCAGATTCGACAAATATACGAGGCTCCTCCTAATCCAAATCGATCAGTTACTGATGATGATAGTGATGCGCTCGGGAGTTGCGCGCGATGAAACATCGTCGCACGACCCCCAGTGCGCGCACAACACGCGACAACTCACTCCTAATATTTGACCCGTGCAGAAGCCGGTTCCTCGGTCAAACCAATCATTATCTTTCAGTTCATAGACCTTCACTCGTTTGCGACCATCGGGCGGCTGTACTTCCAGCGCCATGTTCCGGCAACAGGGAAAGGCGTCTCGTCACTCCGGGCCTGATGAAAGTGCACCGGCGCGAGAGGAGAGCCAAAGGGCGGGGGGGGGGAAAGAAATAAAATTAAATGAAGGTTATCGGAAGATAGTGTAGGTTTCTGTTTAGAAAGGGTTTGAAAGAGACAAAAAGAGGGAATGGAGGTGGAGATCCCAATGATGAAAGAGTCTGCGGAGGGGATGACGATCGGGAACAGACCTGGAGGTCCACCTGATGGCCTCGGCAGGTACTTGGGATTTGGGGGAATTTTTTTCCCCCTTACGAAAGGAATTTGGCAAAAAAAAGAAGCTTCTTTGGAAGATTATGAAGAAGATGTGGGAACTTTCGGCTCTTCCAGAATTCCCTACCCTTGTTTATCCCTAGTTCATCTCTATCACCTCTACCTAAAGTACGGAGTACCTAAATACCCATAACAACTTCAGCCTATACAGGTACCTGGGATTACCTGAGACTGTGTACTTATATATATTTTTGCAAAGCAGAAATATACTATCTTACTAGGAATGCAGCTTATGTCAAAAAATTTAGACTATGTTGTACTTTATCTTTGTCATTCTGGTGTTGTTCCATGATCGGCAGACCTGGGGGAATCTACATGTATTCTTCAATGTTCTCTCTCAGGGGTTTCAGAATGGAGTTAATACATATATATCATAAATCTATCTGAATCTGACTTATGTACTCCGTACAACGTAAATCCTAATATAATTTAAGATTCATCTACTAATCTATAAATCTATAAATATTCTCTGCAAGGCCAATTCAACGCATGGATCTCCACATAATAATTACAACGGATGGGTACACGGGAAGTACTTCCCATTAGGCTGACACTTAGCTCTGACTTGAAGTATCCGCCAAGTACCAACCACCTTGCCTCGAAGATGCTGAGATAATATACCAGGTGGCCGGTCCTGTCGGCCCTCTCCGCAGCACAGACCCTCACCGCCCCCACTATCCATTTATTGA